ATCTTAGGGGGAACCGGCCTAAACCAAATTTCCTTCGAAGGTAAAACCTGTTGAAAAGAAAACTGACAAAAGGACTTAATAAAGGAAGCACAAGATTGGATCGGGGAACCCAAATCCTACTGTCTGGCTTAGACGGATCCAAACAGACTTGATTCAAGAGACAGATAAAATTATAGAGAGAATTAATTTCCTGATCTCTTAACCCCCTACAAAAGCCAAAATCCAAATTTGGAGACAAGGGGTTCCCTTAAGTGTGATAAAGTTTGAGATGACCTCATTTTTATACAAAGAGGCAAAGAAAAGTGAAGGGAAAAGATCATTTAAAGGGGTATTTCCAACCCAAATATCCTCCTAGAGCCGAACAGTGTTCCTAGAACAAATATCACACCTGACATGCCTGAGAAACTGAGGAAGAACACTATGAATGGCTTTCCAAGGTGTTGTCAAAGTAGCTCACCTTGGTACACCAGCATCCCACCCATTCTCTAAAGCTCCGTTTGGTTTGTGGGAAGATTTGGGTGGGATGGGATGGGAAAGTGAAAAAATTTAACTTTCCAGTGTTTGGTTTTATATATGGGAAAATAAAGGAAAAGCATTGTTGGTTCTTCGCCGGAAGAAGAAGAAGAAGGTGAGGGAGGAAGACGGGAAGACTAGGAAGAAGAAGAAGGTGAGGGAGAATCCCCTCTACAATCTGGTCTTAAAAATCCTCTCTACCCTCTTCTCTTTTCAATCTGGTCTTAAAAATCACCCCTGTCTCATCTCCCCCTGTCCGATCCCAATTCAGATAAAAGGAATTATCAGTTTCATCGGCTGAGACGATGGATTAACAAAGGATAGCTTCTTCTTTCGACTGGTTTGTCTTGGAAGGAGTCGATGCTTGAGGAAGGACCAGGGAGAATGATGAGAGGGGGGATATTTTCTCCGATGAAAACTTCTTGGATCAGGATCGAGTTCGTCTGTGATTGTATACCGTAACCAGAGAAGATCCGAAAAATCTCACGCCTAAACCTTCTTCCTCTAGCGATGGCTGCGGTTTGCTCCTAATCGGTGATGATCCTTTGCAGAGAAGAAAAGAGGCACTGTCGTCAAGATTGAAGACGGTGAATCAGTGACTGAAGAACAAAAGACAGAGAAGAAGAAAAAACTGAGAAGAAGGGGAAGGAGAAAGAGAGATGTAAATGGAGAGAATGAAGGAAGAAAGCGGGGGAAAAGAGTTATGAGGAGAGGGATTGCGATACAATCTACCGCTGCAACGGTGATAAGAGTAAAGAAAGGGGAGGAAGAATAGGAAGAAGAAGAAGGTGAGGGGGAAGAGAGAAGAGGAAGATGGAGGGAGATCGTAGCAGATCACCGCTGCCCCTAGCATCTGGTGAAGAAGAAGGCCAGTAACAGTGGTTTCTCAAGTTTTTCCACCGGGGTCGCACGGTTTTGGTGCGACCCCGATTCCACGACTTTGGGATCTGACATCCCACATTTTTCTTATCCCATCCCTCTATTTGCCTCAAAACAAATGAGAGAAAAAGGGATATTTTTGGAATATTCCCTTTTTCTCATCCCTATCCCACAAACCAAACAGAGCCTAAACTACCATGAATGGGAATAGAAAATATTGTAAATACACAAAAGATTATAAAATTTCAAAGAAAAGAAAAATACAACCAATCTGAATTTCGACTTCTCTCAAAATCTAATCAAATTTTCCATGATAAGCAACCACTCTTGTTTGAAATTGTTAGCAACCAATTCAATCCTCTCTTTGCAAACTTCCCTTACTTCTTACAAGTGTAATTTTTCCTCCATGGATTCTTCCCTTCTTTTCTTCTCAGTCAAATTATCCACAAATTGGGGTTTGATTGACCACCATTGGTGTTGGGCATTGCGTTCCAAATCTTCAACAAGTCAAAGATCTCTAGATACTTTTGCACTCTCCTCACCTTCATGACCCAAGGGTAGAAATTGAGAGTCTAATTGGGCGAATTAATAAACTAATAGTGGTATGCTATGTGCAATAGTAACAGAATCACAAAATGGGGTTTGATTGACATAAGAAAAATACCTGCATTCTCCCCTGCAATTCATCTTCACGAATAATAATTCCCTTGACGAACCCATCCTATTCTGCATAGATCTGAGTTACGACTCTCCTCCACAATCTAAGCCTCCAATGATCCTAACTCCTTTTGACCCTTCTCCTTCAACTTGTATGTATATGTTGTTGGTTTCAACTACCTGTATAGATTAGAGGGAGAGCAGAGAGAGGTGGAGAGAGAAAGAGAAAGATTTTCCATTATTGCCAATAATTTGAATCACCAGCTTGAGCTACCTATGTAGATGATAGAGAAAGGGGGCAGAGAGTTGAGGTGAAGATAGAGAGTAATTTGATTTTCAAATCCTAAACATGACTGCACTGACCCTATGGGTACCCATTACCCACCCTAACCCAACCATATTCTCTTGACCCAAATGGATTACTTGACCCATATTGGCCCACATGATATTTGGGTGGGTTTTCAAGTGGGTGGGTTGGGTGGATCAAGTGGGTTGGGTCAAAAATTGCCACCCCTAATCATACCCAACTTACATTGTAATTCCATAAATCTTGCTTTGTTAAGACTCTTCGTAAAGACATCAGCTAGTTGTCTTGTAGAAAGCATATAAGGGATGCAGAGATCTCAAGAAACAATCTTTTCCCTAACAAAGTGACTCTCTCAATTTCAATATGCTATGTGAACTGCATAAGCAACTTTAGGTCTAGTAAAAGATAAATATAGAAGTTTGCCAACAAGTCTCTGATATCTCTCCTTGTTAGAATAAATCTCTTCATCACCTTCTTGTAAACTGGGATTTTGCTCAATAGGAGTATCGATCGGCCTGCTTCCTAATTTCCCAGTCTCCTTCAGTAAGTCCAAAACATCCTTCATTTGGCATATATAGATTCCTTCACTAGATCTAGCTACCTCTATTCCCAAGAAGTACCTTAGAGGTACCAAATCCTTAATCTCAAAGTTTGAAGCTAAGAAATATTTCCGCTTTTGAATCTCCTTTTGGTCGTTCCTTATAACCACCATATCATCAACATATACGAGTGTTAACTTTCCTCCATCTCTCGTATAAAATAATGTGTGATTAGCACTTCTTTGTTGGTATCCTACAGTCTTCATTGCCTTGCATAACCTCTCAAACCAGCCCCTAGGTGATTGCTTTAGCCTATATAAAGCCTTCTTTAATTTACATACCTTTCCTCTCATGGTATACCCTGGCGGAGCATCCATGTAGACTTCTTGCAAGTCACCATTCAATAATGCATTCTTTACATCTAGTTGACACAATTCCTAGTTGAAATTCATTGCTAGAGAAAAGAAAGCTTATATATTGTTTAGCTTTGCAACCGAGGCAAAGGTCTCCTTGTAATCTATGCCTTCTTTCTGCGTAAACCCCATCATAACTAGTCATGCATAAATGAATTTGTGTAAACCCCTTCATAAGCACATACATTTATATGAATTTCTGGTGTGCGCTGACTGACCATCCCGAGCCTAAGACCAACCCAAGTGCATCAAATTTCAGTGTGGGTTGGGCCCGGGTTGGACAGTTTGGACTTGACCTCAGGCTCGGCCTCAAAGCCAATTCTTAGGGTTAGACCTGGGTTGAGTTCAAATGTAGTCAAAATCTTACGATTTACAATACAATTCACAATTTGAATAGTGAATCCCAAGGGTTTCGATTTGAATTTTATGTTTGGATCCTTTTATGCAAAAATCTTATGATTTTTGTTTGAATCCTACAGTTTGATTCATAAACCTTACGATTTATATGATTTCTACGATTCAAATAAATTCAATTAAGAATTAGTTCTCTACTTTGTTATGTTTTTGTTTATATTTAGTTTTGTCAAGGGAGATTTTCTTTTAAGCCCTTACTAGAAAATGGTTTATTTACATTATTTAAGAGTAGAAATTGAGTTTATTTTCCATCATATGTAGGTTAAAGAGCCATTGTATGTGGATTTGTTTGACTTTCAAGTCAAACTTGATCATATCATCTTAGGCTTCTATTGTATAAGTGGTAAGTTCTATTATTTTAGGTACATATATAGTATATAAAAATTAAAAATAGGGTAAAGTCATTTTCCTATATATATTTAGCCTTTAATATATTTATATTTAATTTTTTGACAAGTTTATAAAAAATAGAAATAATCTTACAATTTACGATACAATTCACGATTCAACTTTCTCTACAATCTACGATACAATTACGATTTTCAAAACATTTCACCAGCCAGTTTGCCCAACTTGCATCCCTAGTTTTGTATTTTTTGTGCAAAGTGGCTGCTTGCAGATTGAATCAACATTCTCACTCTTGTCTTGTCAGCCCAAGATTTTATCGTTACATACACTAAGCAATGACCCCTAAAACTCATTTGTACTTTCCATATAGAATATGTACATAGGCTTAATCAAATAAAACTAAGAATGAAACAAAATGAATCCTACGCTTAGGTGAAATGCTAAAACCCAAGAATATTATATAATAGGGTTAATCAACTCGAATTTGTAACATAAAAAATTAAAAATCAGACATACTGAAGATACCTAAACCTGATAAAATAAATAATTCCTTAAAATCTAGAGAAAAAAAGAACTCTTCTATCTCTTCTTTTATTTTATTCTCCCTTTTTTGTGTATGTGCGCACACATGCAATTGGGGTAAGTAATGGTTTCTTGATTCAGCCATACCTTATCCACTGATCAGTGGCTAAACCTTTCAATGTAGCAATCAATCGAGAATAGAAATGTTTAGCAGATGTGGGAAAAGTTCATCTATTTGCAACTGTGTTCTAGTATACATACAACCCAACCAAAACTTTACCAAAGCGGCAAAAGCAAAAGCTGAACCATTCAGCAAGTTCCATGCATTAGATTGAAAACAATGCTACAGAACCAAACATCAAAATATAAGAAAAGTAGATAATTGAAATGAAGAAAAACTCAGTTTACCTATTCTCTGTACACAGCCTCTGACTTCCCACAGTCTTTGAACAAGTAGCTGCTCCCAGAACCAAAGTGAATTACTTGCACCATGACAACACCTCATCCCAAATAACCGGGTCCACCATTCAATGAGCTAAAGAACTTGTTCACAAACCGTATTAAAGCCCACTTCCTACCCTCCAAAGAAGGAGAAAAATCCGCGCTTCTTTGGTTCCTCTTCAACCATTACGGCATTCATGCTATCCTGCTCAACAAGCCTCCAAGCTGCCTGTTCAAATGCCAGCCCAGCCAACGTTGGCGGTTTGTTCAACACAAGTGGGTACCCTCGATTTGTACTCCGAATCACTTCTGAATCCTCTGGAATCACCCCCAACAGCGCCAACCCCAACATTTCCTGAACATCGAGGACCGACATCATATCCTCCCCTCTTATCAAATCCATTCGTACTCGGTTCACAATCATCTTTATATCTTTGATTCCGTCACATTCGAGCAAGCCTGTGACCCGGTCAGCGTCCCTCAGGCTAGTAATGTCGGGTGTTGTAACGAGAACTGCCTCATTCGCCGGAGTAATAGCTGTAATGAACCCAGCATCGATACCTGCAGGACAGTCAATAAGAATGAAATCCGGGCAACCTTCGGAGCGGGATTTCAAGGCATCGACGACCCAAATTAGGGCTTTTCCGCCAAATCCAAGTGGAAGCTTTGACCGAGGCTTGGATATACAGAGAAGCTCGAAGTTGGACCACCGCTTGTCGCGGACTAAAGCCTGGTCGAGGCGGCAATCGCCATTGAGAACCTCAACAGCAGTATAATTGACACGGTTTTCAAGGCCGAGGAGGAGGTCAAGATTGCGGAGGCCAACATCTGCGTCAATGGCGACAACGGAGAAGCCGAGACGAGCGAGGGAAAGACCTACATTGGCGGTAGTGGTAGTTTTTCCAACGCCACCTTTACCGGAGGTTATGACGACAACACGGGGAGTCTCGCCGGCTAACTGGGGTTTTCGATTCCACTGAAGGACTGACTTAACTGTCGTGTTGGGCTTATTCCTGCAACTGGGCTTTATGGATTTTAGGGATTTTCTGTTCAAGAGGTAGGGAGAGGATGTGTGGAGAGAAGATCGGTTAGGGTTACTGGTCACCAGTTGCAGAGAAATCATGGCTGTTCGGATTTCAGAGAGGGAGAAAGAATCTAAAGGAGAGAAAACATTTTTCTTTCGAAGAACTACTGCACAGGAAATGCGTCCCTTTGCTTGTATTTAATTTGAGAGAACCCGGGCTACCATAACTTTGTTACCAAATGAGGGAAAATCTATGATATGGAGTCCTGCTTGGTGGATACGACACGTGTCCTTGAAGGGTATTTTAGCTAGTTTGGTTGATTCTTCTACCATTATAACCCTTTTATTTTCCTTCGAATTAACTGGAATACCCCTCTTAGGACACGTGTCCTTCGGTTCTCCAACTTGAAGGTTCAAGAACCTTCGTTCTATGGTTCTCTTCCCTCCAACCAAATAAACAGGTCTATTCTCTTCCCTTCTTCGCTCTCTTTTGTGCTTGTTTGCTTTCAGAACGCAACCTCACCTCAGAGGAACTGAGCGATTGATTGGAAGTTTTGAACGTGAAAGGTATGGAAATTATTCACGTCCTTCCGTGTTTTTCTTGATATCAGAAGCTCGTCATTTGAATGGGTCTTTTAGATTGAAATATTTCTGATCATCAACTCATGCTTTGTCTTTGTAATTAAATTGGTAATTTCAATTAGATTAGGATCTAGATGGATTGATCCTTTATGTGATCAAGTCGGTTCTCTAGTTCTGTTTCAATTGATTTGATGGGTTATGTGTTTTGTTGTTACTGGGGTACCAAACAAAGTGTTTCATTCTCTCTTGCTTCATAAGTGGTTCTCAAGATCCGTGGGTTTGCTTCCTAAGTAATCTTTGTGCAGTTTTAGTTTCTTTGGAGATTTCTCTCTACTCAACTGAAAAGTCTCATGATTGCTTGTTAGACCCACATCAATTTCTATGCTGCAGGAGTCGGGAGTTATTGGCGCTAGTAGCTGACGGTTTCAAGAGGAATAGGATTTCTAGGAGAAAATGCGTGGAACCACTGCAATATCCCTTGTAAAGAACATTCTCAAACAAGTATACTGCCCAATGAAGAGACGATCATCTGGTAATGCTTGCTCTGCTCTTTAGATAGATCCCCTTTTAGCTTAGTGGTAAGTACCTCGTTTTTATGACTCGGAGCTGCATGTGTAAAAATCAGGGATAATGGCAACTTCGGCCCCTAGCAGGCAATCAAACGATGATGTTGGGGAGGGAGAAGGACCCATGACAGATGACAAGGCGGAGCAGAGCCCATCGTCGCCTTCAACAGACCTCCACTTCCACCTTTTCTCGGGCCTGTTGTTGTTCTCTCTTTGCTTGAAATGGGGTCGCGCAGCAATGACGACTGAGATGTTTGTGAAATTTCTTGTTCGGTACTTACTGGTGCATTTGTGTAGGAGATAGTTTGGTAATGGCTCGTGAAATGGTAGTCTGCCTTTAGTAACTGAGCTACAAATGTTAAGAGGTTAATGTAGCACTAAAACATAGGATGGATAAAGGGCTCCGGCCTCCAGAAATATACTGTAAATCTTCACACTTGTAGTATACCGTCACCTGGGCTACTGTAGGAAAACCTGAAGGACCCAAACATTACTAGTGTTTTAGCATCAGTTTCTTCTGTATGATCTTTTGTGTTACTCTAGTTTATCGAAGTTAAAAGTACTCTCTGTCGCCTTTGACTATGTTTTCATTAGTAGAGACCTAGAAGAGATGGGTAGTGATCAGGGCAGATTTGGCCCTTCACTGACATCATCACACATGGCATATCAGAACAGCTGGACTATATCCCAGCATCACGTAGGCGACAACTTGCCTTAGCCAAAATGGTGTCCTAACTGGCGACCTACTTCTACCGCCGATCTGGCGACTTGCCTCTGCCGTCGACCTAGCAACCTGGCGACCTTCCTCTGTTGCCGATTTAGCAACCTATCTCTCTAGAAGCTCGTCAATTGTCTCCGAACCTTTTGGGATCACACTGTGTAATCGTAGGCTTTATCTTCATCCTGCCCGAAATCAGAGGAAAATGGTAAGCCTTATTAACTGGCACGTTATTCTCCTTCCAAAGTAGAACGGACCCCTACGTCATAGGTCGAGGATTCCGGGAGCATTTCGCGAGACCCACGGCAGCCCAGCTATATAAGGGCATCAACCCCTATGACCCAGGGACATGCACAATTTAGTTCTCGCAGCTCTCTAGCTCTCTTACTTTTAGCTCTCTCACAAAACCTCTGCATTCGCTGACTTAAGCATCGAAGTGCCCACCCCAAGTAAAACAACTTGGGCAATCTAACATTGTTTCCTTGTAGGTCGCATCAGAGCCACCTCTCCAGTTCGTCACCATACAGCCAAGCATCAGAGCCACCTCTCTAGCTCGTCACCAATCATCTAGGCATCAGAGCCACCTCTCCAGTTCATCACTAGTCAGTTAGGCATCAGATACACCTCTCTAGCTCGTCACCATTCAACTAGGCATCAGGAGCCACCTCTCCGACTCATCACCATCCAGCTAGGCGTTAAAGCCACATCCTAGCTCGTTACCATTCAGTTAGGCATCTAAGTCACCATCCAGGTAGGAACCATTCAACTAGGCGTCCAAGCCACATTCCAAGTAAGGACTATTCAGCTAAGCATCTAAGTCACCAGTTAGTTGGGAGTTGCCAAAATGCGCATCATCAGATAGTGATATTTCTTTATGGAGTATTCAACTATCTTATTTAGAAGTCAGTAGGGTTAGTTTGACACCTTTGCTTTTGCTTATTTCCTATAAGAGTGCTCAGTGCTCAAGGTCACCATTGATGTGATTAGAGAGGTCTAGAGGAGAATGCTAGGTGAGGCGAATATGTAATCTTTCCAGAATCATGATTCCTAAATCCTAAATGTCAAAAACTTGTTTTTCTTCATTTATATTAAAACAAATTACATCCAATCTGGATGTAAACATTAGACCTTTCGGCCTAAGAAGGGGACCTGATTACATTTTAAGCAACCACAGTCACAATCTTGTACTGTTGTGGCATCATAAGAACAAAGACCATTTGTTTGGACAGCCTGAACTCTAATGTAAAGGGTTATTATTCACAACCTTGGGACCATTTTAACATCTACATCATCGGCTTGCCGCTTGATTAATATGTTTCATTTCCTTCTCGAAAGTAAAGACAAAATTGCAACATCAGCAAAATACGTAGAGCTTGTATTCGCTCTGGTCTGTAGAGCTTGAAAGGTTTTTTGGGTTTCTGGTATTGTTTGTATTTGATCGTTGGAATTGCAATCATCCCTAACTCATCATAGATTGTTTCTGTTATGAGTCATGTGGGCTACTCTGGAGCGGAGATGAGATCGGTGGTCAAGGTGTCTTGTTGGTAGAGTGTATGGTGTGATAAGTAGAGGTGTAAAGCTTGCCATGTTGGGTGCCCCGTGCAAAGTGTGGGTCGTGTCGTGCTGGCCCGCGACACAGCATGTCGTCCTCCCCGGTGAAAATTTTGAGGGTCGGCCCGGCACGGCCCATGGGCCTGGGTCAGGTCAGGTTGCAATCTAGGTCATGGGCTTGGGCCGTGTCAGCCCGTGGACCAGGCCGAGTTGCAATCTGGGTCGTGTCAAGCTAGGCCACAGGGCAAGCTTTGGGCCTGGGCCGAACCGGATTAGACTGATTTTTTTATTTTTTTTTTGAATTTTTTATTTCTTTTTTAAGTAAAAGTGTAAAACTAAAATATTTAACTTTCCTTTGAACTTTGGGAACTATTTGGAAAATTAAGAAATGAGAAATCTAACACATAAATGAAAAAAAAAAAAAACTTAACCAAATAAGAATGATGGAATAACAAATTGGAAGAAAATTAGGAATTTTATTTCATTTAAATTTGAATGATACAAATTACAAATACAATGATTAGATACTTGAACGAATGAAATATGAAAATGGAATAAATTAATAAAATATAAAAATATAATATTGTTACAAATTGAAAATACAAAATTACATTGTTAAAAAATAGAAAATAAATTAAATAAAAAAAAAAATATATACAATAATTTAAAAAAATAAAAAATTCTATACAACTAGTCAATTTCATGAATCATGACTTTCATCATCTTCTTAGGTGAAATATCTGGAGTAGTATCATGTTCTCCTTTGTCTTGCAATCTATCTTTTGCATCTAGTCAATCCTTAAAGCAGATGCGTATCTCTATACTTTCATCGGTCATGCAGCTTCTCTTGTCATCTAACACCCTAGTACCTGTACTAAAACAAGACTCCGATGGAACTATAGACATCGGAGGGGTTAGTAGATCACGTGCTATAGCGGCGAGAACTGGATAATTTTTTGAATGTTCACTCTATTAGGCTAAAATATCAAAATTATTTCTTCCCTCACCTAAACTAGGAAAAATTGCTTGTAAATAAAAATTAAGTTCAGTAAATGAACTTGTTGTTAAAGTAGTAGATTCTTGCCTTCTACTTATTAAATAAAAAAGTTTTTCTCTTCTACTACTAGGCTCAAGATCAGAAGTAGAAGATGTTGTACATGTTGTAGGAATATTTCTTACTGCTTTAGATTCATATAAATTGTACATTTTGAATAATAAATTATTAATTTTTTCTTTTTTATTTCCAATTTCAATATTCATATTTTCACAATATGTTTCAAGTAAAATATCTAAACCATATTTTCTAATCGTAGGATCTAATATTGTAGTTAAACAATAAAGGGGAGAAATGTTCTCCCAATATTTTTTAAATTTATTTTCCATTATTTCAACAATACATTTAAATTGTGGATTATTTCTATATTTTGCAAAACAATCACTAATCACCATTAATTGATAAGGTAAATTACAACTAGTTGGATAATAAATACCTGATAATTTATTAGTTGCATCATAAAAATGTTTTAAAAAAATTTCTTATACAAACTGACATTTCGATCTTCCTCAAATATAATATCATTAGGCATTTTTTGTATTATAAAAATCAGTAAGAATTTGTTAATGAGAAATACAATTTTCTAACTTAGCATAGGTAGAATTCCATTTATGTTTTACGTCTAATATAAAATGTTTATATTTTAGGGTAAATACAAAAAGCTCCCTTGAAGTTTCTGACAACCATAAAAACCTCCCACGATGTTAAACTTTAGTAAAAACCTCCCTTAGATTTTTAAAGAATATGACAAAAACCTCCCTTCCATCAATAACCAAGACGGAAAATGTTAAACCGGTGAATCAATTTTTCCCAAACGCCTATTTTACCCTTTTACGAATGGTTTGTATCTGTTTTTACTAAAATACCTTGTCGACATGTTATCCTCTTCTTCTCCGCCGTCAACCTCTTCGCCCTCTTTTCCTATCCCAATTTATCCGGTAGGAGGAGTAACATAGGACGCAATCTCTCATCCAAACTCCATTCATTCAAGGAGGAACCTCTTTATCCTCTTTTCCTTTCCATTTTTTCATATTATTTCTTTGTTGATTTCTTCCTCTTCTTTCAATCTTCCATCCTTGATTGCTGACTCAATCCATTGAACTTTAACAATTTGCCATTCGAGATTTGAGATGTGGGTTGCATACAACTTTGTAATGAACTGTGTGGTTTTCTCGTCTATATCTGGTTCACCCGTCCAATGCCCTCTGTCTTCATCACTACGGTGCAGCCATCCCTTGTTTCTTACTTCGACACCTACATCGTCCCTGTTGTGCGGCTTCTAACACTTGAATATGCTCAAGATGGAGAACAGGGATGATGATTTTCTTACTCTCTTTATCATATGTGGTTTTTGTGCCCATCATAATTAATTACACTTGTTTTTTGAAGAGGAGACTTTTCCCTTAAGCAACCCATCTAGAATACTGAAAAAACAGAGAAAAGGGGTTCAGGGTCACCGGTGCCATGCCTCGAGAAGAATCACATTGGAAATACTCGGCCATGTAAGTTAACTCATCAAAGCAAGGACACCAAGGAGACAAACTCTAACGTTACATGCCCCTTGGACCGTGTGTTGATGACAAAATGTTCTGGATATTCCTCAGCAATGTAAGCAGTCCAAACCATGGTCTTCCCTTGGATTCATTGACTGTCCTTTGATGCCAAATATTTCCATATTGCTCTATTGGCTCAAAATGAATTTTTGCCATGGGCATCCATTCTCCTGGACCACAAAGATCAGAAAGCACAGTATCTCTTGACCTGGTTTCTGACTTTTTCTCCAATTGTCCAGATGACCCTGTCTTTCCTCTCGATCCACCATATCCAAACATCTCATGCCATTCTCTCTGTAATTTCTTGCTAGCACTAGAAACAATAGTGTTATTGGTGTCTTCCTCATCATCGTCCAAATAATCACTCGATGCCCTACCCCTGCCCCTTCTTGGAAGAGTGATGCAGCGGTGGAGGCAATGCAACCCATGCAAAGGGCAGATGTGTAGCAGACGACAGAAGGGGTGGAGGAGAGTGAGGGATGTGGCAGGCAGAGAAACTCTAAGGATGCTGTAGACAATAAGGAGGAGATAGAATTTCTTGCCGCCAATCTAGAGAAGGTCTTGGTAGTCAATCTTGACGGGAGAGTTACTAAGGAGGTGGAGGACGCCTTCGACGAAGCATCTGTTCTTCCCAACGACTTTGAGGGCGAAGTGGCATCGTTGGAAATCGTAGAAGATGCCGGAGA